TAGAATTCACCAGTGAAGTCATCTGGTCCTGGACTTCTTTTTTGGGGGGTGGGGGGGAGGGGAGTGGAGTAAGGGGATGTTTTGATTACTAATTTAGTCTCCTTAGTAGTAATTGGTCTGCTCAGATTTCCTATTCTTTATGATTCAGGCTTGTTATATTAAATGTTTCTACAAATATATCCACTTCTTCTAGGTTGTCCAATTATTTGGTATATAATTGTTCATAGATTACCTTCTGATTCTTTGTAGTTCTGTGGTATCAATTGAGATATGCTTTATATATTTAGGTGCTTCTATGTTGGGTGCATAAACATTTACAAATGTTATATTCTCTTATTGTATTGACCCCTATATCATTATATGCCCTTCTTTGTTTCTTATTACATTGTCTTGAAGTCTATTTTGGCTGATATAACTAACTACCTTAGCTTTCTTTTGGTTTCCATTTGCATGTATTATCTTTTTCCATCCTGTTACTTTCTGTCTCTGTGCATCCTTAAAGCTGATGAGAGTCTCTTGCTTTAGCTTTAACAATCATCTACTTGCTGCTGATTCACAAATATCTATTTAAGATATACCTCTTTCCAACAGAAAGCTTAAACTCAAAAATGACCAAAAATGAACTCAATTTGCCGTAGAAACTTGCCTTTTCTCTTATATTTCCTATTTCAATCAATGTACCGACATCCTCCCAGTTTTTAATTTGATGCTTTCCTCTTCTTCATACCCAGTGTCTCCCATCCCATTTGACCCCCAATATTAAATTATGACATTCTATCTTTCCTTTTAATTCTCTTGAATATGTCTTCTCTGTGTTCTCATAATTGCCACCTTTGTTCACCAACATTAACTATTTCTTTCTAATTGGTCTCCCATTTCCAGTATTTTTCCTTCCTAAAAAAAATTATCTGTATCATGACTGGAATGGGCTTTCTAAATTTAAAAGATGTCATTGTCATTTTCTTCTATGTACTGTTTCAACGTGTATTGCCCTTGGGAAAAAATCCAAATTCACCCATCTGTTTTTACAATATGTACCAGTCACATTAAACATTTTGTGATCCAGGATGATGCCATATTTCTGTCACCTATAGGTCTTTGTACCCCCAATCCTTTTGCCAAAAAATGCCTTTTCCAAACCCATCTTTATTGCTAACTTCTATTCGTTTTTTAGATGTCAAGTTAAGATATCACTGCCAGAGAAGTCTTGAAATCTTTTAGACCTGTAATATTCAATATGATAGCCACCACTAAAACACAGCTATTGAGCACTTAAAATGTGGCTAATCTGAATTGAGATGTACTCTACACCACACTATAAAACTTAGTATTTTAAAATGTAAAATTATCTTATGCACTGGTTACATGTGAAATACTATTTTGGAGGTACTGGATTAAAGAAAATATATTATTGAAATTAATTTTATGATGGTTTTTAATGTGGTTACAATAAATCTCAAAATTACACATGGCTTGAATTATATTTCAGTTGGACAACACCTAGATTAGATGAGAAGGAGCCCCCTTTTTCAGGATCCTATAGTTATTTCATTAGTAGCATTTATTATATCAGGTAAAAATTCTAGATTGTATTCTGCACTAGACTGCAGGGATCTAATAAACAAGAGGCTACCTTAGTAAATATGGCCATTTCAATACCAAGGGTGTTAAAATACAGTCAATCCTCCTCCTAGCTCAGTTGGATAGAGCCGTGGTCAGCAAACTGCGGCTCGCAAGCCACATGCGGCTCTTTGGCCTCTTGAGTGTGGCTCTTCCTAAGCCTTAGGAGGACCCTAATTAAGTTAATAACAATGTACCTACCTATATAGTTTAAGTTTAAAAAATTGGGCTCTCAAAAGAAATTTCAATCGTTGTACTGTTGATATTTGGCTCTGTTGACTAATGAGTTTGCCGACCACTGGAGAGCATCGTACAGTACACCAAAAAGGATTGCAGGTTTGACTCCTGGTCACAGCACAGGCCTGGGTTACTTTGATCCCCTGTTAGGAAGCACATGCAGCAGGCAATGGATCAATGTTTGTCTCTCTTTCTCTCCCTTCCTCTCTCTCTAAAATCAACAAACATGTCCTCACTGAGGATTTTTTTTTTAAAGGTTAATCCTCATTATTTATTCATTGATTCCGTATTTGTGAATTCCCCTACTTGCTAAATTTATTTGCAACCTCAAAATCAATACCCTAGCTGCTCTGGCCGTCATTCATGGTCATGCACAGAGCAGTGAAAGGTTTGTATCGTACAACACACGTTTTCCTGGCTGAGGTCAAACAAGGCGATGCTCTGCTTTCCTGTCTCAGTTGTCAAACAGTAAAGTATTTTTCAGTCTTTCAGTGCCACTCTTTCATATTTTCTCTTACTTTTGTTGGTGACTTGGCTGTTTAAAATGGCTCCCATGGCCTGGCTGTTATGGCTCAGTGGTTGAGCATCACCCCATGAACCAGGAGGTCACCGTTTGATTCCGGGTCAAGGCACATGCCTGGGTTGCGGGCTTGATCCCCAGTGTTGGAGGTGCAGGAGGCAGCCGATCCATGAGTCTCCCCATCACTGATGTTTCTATCTCTCACTCCTTCCCCTTTCCTCTCTGAAATCAATAAAAATATAAATAAATAAATAAATAAATAAAATGGCCCCCATAGTGCTGTAGTGTTGCCCAGTGTTTATAAGCACAAGAAGGCTGTGATGTGCCTTACAGAGGAAATGCCTGTACTGTATTAGATAAGCCTCCTTTGGGCAGGAATTACAGTGTTGTTGGCTATGAGTTAAATGTTAATGAATTAATATATATTATGTAAAGTTTTGAGACAGAAACACACATAAAACAAGATTATATATTGGTCAGTTGATGAAAATGTTACCAGAGGCTCACAGAACCTAAATCTATATTTCCCCGAGGAGCAATGATTCAGTATTTATTGATTTAGCATTCCAGTGGCTTCACTAAAATTGACTATATTGCCAGATCATTTGATTCCATATCCAAATCTTGCGTGAATGTAGTATATGATGGTAGTTAAAGCAGTGAGTGCAGAGCCAAAGTGCCAATCTTGGCCTTCTGACTTGCTAGCTGTGTGATTTGGGGAAATTAGCTTTACTCTGCTATTTTCCACAACTAAAAATGTAGATCAAAGAATAGTTGTGAATGATTACCAGGGGCTGGGTTTGGGGGAGGGGGACTGACCAAAAAAGGCAGGAGGAAACTTTCAGAATGAGGCAAATATTCTGTATCTTGATTATAGCTGTAATAACACCTATGTTCTTTGAAGAACGCCTATTTTCTTCAAAACTCCTAACTAAAAAAAGGTACATTTTACTTTCTATAAATTATAACTTAATAAATCTGAGGCTTAAAACAGTAACAAGGTCAAGATTAAAGGACTACTACACATAAAATATGTAATGTCTCTCTGGCTTACATACTCTTTAAACATTAGCAATCGCTCGAGTAATGATAGACGAGAAGAGGTTAGGTGGTGGTGTCAGGAAAAGCAGAATAGGCACATGAACTAGGGTTCTAATCTGGCTCTTTCTATGTTGGCTAGAGGCTGAGCTGTGTACGGGAGTTCACTTGCTTACTGTAAAGGTGAAGTTAGACAACATGTGTGAAATATCTGTGAAAACTGTAGAGCCAGATAGGAATGTGAGAAATGGGACAGTTCATGAGAGCAGTGCAGTATATCAGAGGGCTCCATAACCCGGGGTGTGGGGGTCACTTTCCGGGGTAAGAGCACATCTCTCTTAACAGCGTTGGTCCTTACGCCTGTGTGTGTCTCCGTTGGCTCCAGGTCGATTTTGAAGACAACCCAACTGCCCAAGAGGTGTG